TTGTCATTAGTCTTGGTCGATTTTTTTTTCAGTAATTTGTTGTAACATTGTTAGTTGTTAATAGTGATGATCCAAACCAGTCGTTCTACTAAGGGGTAGTGATTCATAACGCACGATTCCACTGTAATTTCACCACACATGGCATCACCATTTTTAACATCAGCATGGGTTTTGCCACGGACTATAAAGCGTATGTTTTTTTTTTGTATTTGTATTTCACATTTGATCCACTTTTCATCTGCCGCGGTCAGCAGCTTTATAAATGGCTGTATTCCGTTACATTTTTTAACAATTTCATAAATAAAAGTACAATCGAGTAAACTCGCTTGCACCAATTCCTATGGCACCCAAACTAGAGCTTTTTTTTTTATAGCCAGCTTACTTCAAACTGTCTGAACCTATTCCGTAATAGATACTTAGCTCCTTGGCGATATTATGGCTACTCATATGTCGGTCTTGCTCAAGTTCCACGATAAGTTGACCAATTTTTTCCGTAATTGGTAGACCACCACGAGCTACATCTTTCATATCGAAATTTCCTGAACGATAAAGATAAAACCACCTTTGAGCGATCTCCCAATAATGCATGTTGATTAAAAACAGCACAAACTTTTCCACGGGTCTGGGCAGCACTTGTGCTTTTATCATTATATAATTGTAAAATATCGTCAGTTTTTTCAGATATTTTGCTTATCTTTAGGTTCCAGCAAGCACATCTACTACTGCCAAATCTCGGCTTTCAAGTAACTAACGCCAACTAGACACAATTCACATGAGCTGAGATATGTGACATTAAAGCCATTTACCTAGAAAGACGGTCCATACGTTTCGGTAGCCCAATGATATACCTCTAATTTAATCTGTCATGTTATATTACAGCTGTTTCTAAATAACAATACTATAATATAAGTTTTTAAACAAGCAGTTAAAATGCTCAAAATTGGCACAGTGCTTTCCGCAATACAGTTTCAACTCAGTTGGACTGAATAAGGCATTTCCAATGGTTTAAAGAGGGTTGCCATAATGCATTTTCTACACAATTAAATAATGGAAGTATAATGCAGTAGAACTGAACGTGAAAGATGTGTAGTAAGTGGTCATTCATATGGCATTATGGAACTCGCCTGTATTGATTCGATTTCTCTTCGAAGCTAAAATTGCTAATGATTCCATCACACAGATTCCAGCAAAGCACGCCAGTATAAAATCTGTAAAAAGGTCTGTTGCTGTACATGTTCTAACAGTTTTTCCAACTGTCTTTTCTTTTTAAGCTATGCAGAAAAAGTATACATCCAGCAGCTTTCAACATCGTCTTTTTAATCGGTATCACTGTCTTAGCCGGTCTATTGTCATACTGAATCATCAGTGAATATGTGGCATTCACATCTACAAATGCATAAAGACTTCTTGGTTCAGTAAATCATACTGAACTAAGAAGCCTTAATACACAACATACACTGGAAAGAAGCACAATAAACAGAAGTAATCGTTTTTTTCTGTATGTGCTTTTTTTTATAAATACGCAACAGTTTTGTTAAAAAAGTGAAAAGTTTGGAAGTTCTTTTCAAACTCAATATTGCGCTTACTCTGTAGAACTGTTGCGCCCACTCTGATCTTTGAAGAAACATTCAACTTTTCAATATAGATCTTTTAGAAAATCCTAACGGTTGTTCAGCAAATCGCCAAAAACTTCAACATATGCAAATTAGCATTACTATCCATGGCGGCCAAAAATACCACTTAAAAAAGTATTTGTTTAATCGAAGAGTATGGACCATATGTCGAGCTGGTTATATTATTATGCAAATTAAAGAAATTACCATTACGGTTTCCCCTAGGGAAGAAGAAGCTATCCCCGAAAAAAGATGTTCATCAATTAAAGATCGCAATTTTACAGCTAAATGTGAAAATTGGAACTGTTTGTTGAATTATAATATCGTATTTCGCCATTTGACTCGTGAAAGAACAAATGATTTCTCAACATATATTTTGGACAAATTGTCAACCGTTGTCGAGGAAATTGCTAAAAGTCGTTAACTTGCCTAAATTGACATTACGCTATATGAAAATAAAAAACTGAACTTGAAAAAAATATTTTATTATCCTAGGACGAGGTTTGAGCAAGGTCCAAAAATTGGTTTAAACGACCGCTTTATGGGCTCGATTTAGATCGGACAGACAAATAAACCTTATTTAACTCGCGGGCTACGTTCTACCATAGATTTAACTAACTTGATTTGTTGATGTTACACTTATAAAAATGTAAATTATAGTTCAACAATTGTACCACCGCAGGAACCCTGTTCTTCCTAAACCGTTTTCATCAATCAAACGAATTTGATTGACGTTACGTATAGGCAAACAGAGACTATAGTTCAATTGCAAACAAACTCCTTGTCGATACTCAGTTACAGTCATCCTGTTGCAATAATTCCGTTTCTTTGAGACAGTGATCCCGTTTCATTCGTACAGCAATTCTATCACTATTTAATCGGGTGCTTGTTCACATTCAACACAACCTACAACTGCATACTTTATTCCCATGGCCATTACCATTAATTTGTTACCACATTGTATTACTTGCTACCTAAATACATAACTCATTTTGATTTACAATAGTCAATATAAGCCCAAACAACAGTCTCCAAACATGCACTTTTATACGGTTTTCCTACCTTCCATCATAACGCCTTTGTGGTCTTTATATCTTGTTGCTCTTAACGCGTTTCACCATTTCAATGAGTGCGTCCCTTAGCTTCCCCGCTAGCAATTCTCAGCCATTTCGGTAAACATTTTTAAGTTGCGAAAAGAACTGGGTAACCTAATTTGTAGAGTTTGAAAAACAAACAACTGCTTAACACCAAACTTACAGAGATCCTCAATAAATTGCCAAAAAAGGTAAGGCTGCACATATAAGCATTACGTCCCTAAGGTAAAGAAACGAACTATATAAAAGAACTACAAGTCGTCCCGTTTCCACGAAAATATCAGTTGAAGACCTATGTAAATAGTCCATATAGGTCCACGAGGTAGAGTTAGATGGGCCACTAATAAGTTCGCGCGAAGGAGTCGAAACGGAAATACAAAAAGGGACGCTTCTTCCTAGAAAGAGCTGTGGTTAGGGCTAGAAAGGACAACGCTTTACGATTATTTACTGTCAGATTAGACATATAAAAGGGTTTACGATATGAAGTTTAGTTACATAGTGTGAAGCTTTGGGTGTTTCATGTTGCATTTCATTGTGCTGTAACCAAAGTAAATTTAATCACCAATGAATAATAATTTATCGTAAATTTTTTCAATACTAATTCGATATTTCAAAAGCAACCATAACTGACAGCAGCGACGTGTAAGAATAGGATGATTTAATTTAACTTGATATGTGCATACAAACCTAGGTTGTACTGTCAGATCATGCTTCATCAGATTTAAAATTTTTGTAAGAACAACATATATGCTTGAAATACCGTGACCCATATAGCTTCCAATATAATGGTTCTCATAAAATGTAACTTGTTTAGGCCGCCTTTTAAAATATTTCATTTTCATCATTCAAAATTTGATAAGATGCAAAAATTGGCAACACCAAGTATCAGAAACAACAACTGTTATGTGTTGCATTGAATCATTCGTAAAGAAAGATCTACCAAAAGAGTGATTTAATTTGTTGGTTAAAGCATATCGCGAGCATCCAAAATATTTAACGAGAAAATGCGCATATTTTCTTCTTTAAGTTCAGATTCGGCAACAACACGACACGTGTTTCTATTTAAATTCGCGCTGCCTTTAGGGATATAGTCGGGTTCGTTCGAGTTGCAAAATTTTGTATAATGATGATATCTCGCGCAAAGAAGAAAGTAAGGAAGATCCTTCTGTTAACGCTGAGTTCCAGTTAAGAGCTGGCTTTCCAACTCTGCGGTAAAATATCCTTTGAGTTAAATGGGACAAGTGTATTATTGACTCTAAAAAATATCAATGGAACACCAAGTCCTTGCTGCATATGATCAGACTTCTTGCACCACACTCGCCTGCTTACTTGCTGCCGATAAATAAGTAAAACGTATGCTTTATATTTTACAAGCATTTCAGGGTTAGTGATCTTAATTACGTTTCTAAAAATAACTAAAGCATTGCAAGGCGCAGAGATTCCGCCTAACGAATAGACAGTTCGGGCATTTTATATTGTGCTTTTCTTTACATTTTATAGCATTCACCAACGCCGCCAAATTTTTTCATGCTAAAGGTACAGGTGGTATTCGCGATCTTGCGACGGGCAAAAGGTTCGATTTTCCATACTATTTCACCAGCAATAAAGAGTTGGAACGTGATTTACCCATTATTTTTCTAATAAGCTAAAGAGTGTGCGTTTAATAGCTTGCTTTTTGCGACTGCGAATCCAGTCATAGTGCAATTTCTTTGTTCAATTTTCATAGCCACCAGAAGTGGACTCGATACGACACTTAAGTAAGGCAATAAAACTTAGTAACGGAATGTTAGTCTGCTCGAGAGCGCTTGAAACAAGAACCTAATAAAAAGCTACAGTGAAAACCTTGAACCCGCCATATTTACCTTTGGGCTACAATTAAAAAAATGTATACAAACAGTTACATACAGTTTAATAAACTATTTCGTACATACAGAAATATACCTATAATAATCCATTAGTGTTTCTCTATGATAATTTCAAGCTTGTCAACATTTGAATTTTACTCTCTTTTTAGCTCCATTTCATTCTGACGCCTTAAGTTACGCTTTTATGTTTTCTCAATAACACGATACACAATTTATATTTCTTACGTGAACTACTGTCTCGTGGACACTGTAGTACTTTTATCAAACTCCGTTCGATTGTGCTTAAAGACACATTAATTCCCTTGTCCCTTATACGCTAAACTACAGAAAATGTCTTACTCCTTTGTGCTCCATACAAGCGAAATAACTTTAGGTTTACCAAGTTATCAGCTAATTGAAAAAAAATATATATATCTAAATCTAAACAGGCAGAAGCTAGCGGCATACAACAGCAAACTGCGGAACAGCCTCCAGAAGGAGCGGGGTCCGGACCTTCGTCTAAGGTACGGCCCTCACATGCAGGTCACAGGGGAAAAATCGTCAATTCAGCCCACGAAATCGATCAAATTAGTGAGTTCATTTATTGTTTTAAACCCTTAGAAACTAGAGACATCATTCCATGATTATGAAATAAATTTGTACAGTTACATATACATTCTGTAAGGACAGGAACTTCAATACCCTGTCATATCCTTGCTTTTTTAGATGCCAAGTAAACTCTAAATTTGTACCCTACATAGGAATTTCTTTTTACATATTTAGTATCGTAGGGCTCATTTTTTATTATCGTTGTTATCTAGTTTTCATCGAAAATAGCCCTGCATTTTCTTTGTGACTTTGTGATAGCAGCTGGTTAAGGCATTCTTCGTCCCGCTTATCATCCATATAAAGCGCAATACGACTTGAAAGCATAATACATCTTTCGCACCGCTTAATAATAAGTCCCATTTTCTCTGTTAAAATTACAATAAACAGTATGACCATTATCCGATATTACTAATATCCGTGTAATTATCTGTGTTAATCCGTGTTCGATTGACCGTTCGGTGTTGAAAATAGCATGCTTAATTTAAGAGCAGGCCAATATTCATGATACACTTAACATCCTACACCTAAGTTAAGAAAAGTTTCTAAGATTAAAAAAACTATACATAAGGCAACAGGTTCATATATAAGATTAAAATAAATAAAACATATTCTTCAAAAGAAGTACGGCATGTGATAAAGGCATCGTTAAAAGACAAGCAAAGAAAGACAAACTCTGCCATAATATTTCAACACTGAAAGTCACAACCAAAGCGATATGGACAAAGCTAATGGCTCTTTCTCAATGTCCGGAAAAACTGGCAAAGGAAAAGATGAAATTGCAGGAAAAGGTAGAGTATCAAGTTATCGGCCAAAGACTGCTAAAACATAATTTGCTATTTTAAACATAGAAAAGGTTGAATAAACTATCAAACATTTATAAAACGAAAAAGCGCCTGGACAAGATTACTAGCTATCCATAATCGTCGCATTCCATACAGCACCTGGGAAAACTCATTATCATTACCGGCATATACTTAGAACTATTAAAAATTCACTAAAAACAAACGTAGTAATTCTAATGCACAAATGGGCAACCTTGAGAATTTCTCACAGTACAGACCTATGTAAATTCTATGTGTTATCAATAAGTTATCGAGTATATGACAGTATAACAGATAGCACATGATTTTGAAACAAATGGAATTTTACCAAAAAAACAGTTTTGCATACGGAAAGCATTATTTGCCCACAATCACAAATTCAGGAAGCTCTATAGAAAAGTGAAGTTCAAGTATCAGTTCTTAATTTTTTTTTATGTGCATTTGCAGAAAAATGGTTTCGAAACAAGCTCAAAAGAACTGGGATTTGAGGGACAGAACTGAAGGTCTTTAAACATTCAATTCACGGCATGCATAAGAAACCGGTTTATGACTTATTACATATACAAAAGCCACATAGGATATGCCGAGGACACATGCATTATGCAGTTAAGCAACAAAGAGTTTATAAAAAATTCTCTCCTAAATGCTTAATGACGGACCTGCAAGCTAAACGCTACATCTAAAAAATCTTCATGTACTACTTTCGGTTACGAAATTCACAAGTTTCGAAAAGTATTTGGAGTTCACGTGACAGTACCTAGTCAATAAATACACACGAATGCTTCACAGTCATTAGTCTTCTTAAAATACTTAACAGTGGCATAAAATACTAGTTAAGAAATTAGCCTGGCAGGCTATGTGAACGCGTTAAAAAAAGTTGCAAACAACAATTACATATTTGGTAAAGAATGCAAAAGCTGACTTTTTCGACTACTATATACAGAGCCATATTTTAATGACGTTTAACATAATGTTTAGTGCTCTACAGAACCATTTTACCGAGCATTTTAGACCCACTGGAAACGAATACAAAATAAAAAAAAAATTACACTGTTAAACCCACGACATACAGGAGCACCTCAGCAGAACAGAAATACTAGTGTTTAAAGACAATCTGTAAAAGTTACGCAAGAATTTTAGTGCTTGAGAAAGTAAATTGTTACGGGAATACCAAAATCTACAATACACCTACACAACTAGTAAAGTACAGCCCATCAAATTAGATCTCTCAGAGGATGTTCCGAGAGAGGACAGAGGGAGCACAAACTTGTGTGTTTACAGGCGTACAATTCTCTGCATAGCAATGTAGGGAACAATGAGGCTACTGAAGCTCGCAAAAAAACAATTCAAACATTCAGAGTAGCATAGCTCCAGTAAGCAGCTGAAAACTAAATACTTATGAAACGCAATACAACTCTAACAAAATCAAATTACTTACACAACATGATAGCAAATACAGGAAAAACCATATCACAATACATGCAAAGATTTCAAATAATAACAAAAAACACTACGCATAGATACTTTACGTACCGCCTGATGTTTATTGTAATGCAAATATCCTACATACCACACAGGAGATAAAATCGTCCTGTGCTTTTCACTTATAAACAAATAAGCAGCCACACACACGCTCCAAAATAAAAACACGCTCATGATAATACACAAGCACCAAAGTGCTAGTGTATTATCATGAGAGATACGATTTATCTATTGATCTGATGATATTGAAATAAAGGTTTTTGTTTAAAAAAGATACACATGCTCTACCTGACAGTCTACATGGTATCAACTTTGCATGGTAACAACATTTTTTTCCATCTATAATGTCTTTAGAGTTGCAAATTCGGGACGTGCCATAGATGCGAAAGAAAAAATACTTGATTGCAAATTAGATTTTAATTGAATAAAATGATCGATCTGTTGAATCGTTTCTTCTAGAGGCTTCAGCATCTGAATACTACGGAGGCTATGGAAATGGTTACGGCGGCGGCTACGATGATTTCCACCATGCTTACGGCGGAGGTAGCTACCACCAAGTACCTTACCGACCGTCTCATCACCGGAGTTCGAAAGGGCCGCTCGCTCTTTTACTAGGTTTGCTACCTCTGGGTCTTCTTTTCGCCAGTCTGATGCCATCCTTCTACAATGTTCCCTTTGCCGGTTGGTATCACCCTTAGTTTTATTTTAATATAGACTTAACACGTAACAAAAATGCGGCGTTTCATTCAAAGTTACGCGGCTTTTATGACTACTGAATTTAGTGAATGCAAACAATGTTTTCTTCCCCATTGTTATTTGCAGATTGAACCTAGTGCTCTAAAAGCCCTTCAATAGATATATACATATAATTTAAACTACCATATTTAGTTTCATCACTTTGGTTCAAATAAACGTTTGCATACACCAGCAATTGGTCTTATTAGTACAGAAAAACAGTTCAAATTGTATGGATTTAAGTAAATGGAGTACGAGAATGGAATTCATCGTTTAATATCTAGACGCCCTGTTCAGGAACGAATTATCACAACTCGATATGGTTTCGCAATTTTCATAAAGCAATAACATAGTCCTGTTGGTTGCTGCACCATTTATATCGCATTTTCCATGGGTGCCTTCAGCAAATTTAAATACAGAAACATAATTTTTTTATCGACTAACATCTTCCAATAGAGTTAACTTCGATATGTAATAATAATATTTACCTTAGATCCGACCTTGCGTAGCAATAACGTAACACAAAAAATATCGTTTTGTAGAGACTCCTTCTTAGTCATGTCCTTCCCCAGAAGTCTACACAGAGTAACCGTTATTACTAATGGAATTTGTTAGACTTGTTTATCAACTATACTTCTGCTTATTGTATATAAAAATGATTACACGCGCTGCCCTCAAATTAGGTCTAGAAGGAAGACGTGCTATTCTGGTTAAAATTCTTTGTACGTAGTTTTTAGTAAACAACACAAATGCCAGCTTTAACGGCCGATTAGCCGGGGATCTACATTTTACTTTAAGTAGAAGCTTTTGCAGATTGGTTCGTCAATTGTAGGGTTCAATGTAAAGTCCCCTTCATGGGGTTTGTAAAGTCAATAATCTGTCTACTTAACTTCGTGGCATAGAAGTTTTACCGTGCGTGTAGTTGAGCCAAATAAGCTAAGAAAAAAGCTTAATAGTATTACCAATTCATAAGAAATTTTAGTAAAACTCTAGCTTTAAGGAGATAAAAGTTTCACAATAATGCATAAATTTTAAACGATAATTATGGAATGTTCTTGTGAAACTGATGTTAGCGATTTAGCTAAATTAAAAGTTATGTTAAAAGCCAACTGCTCAAACTACCTCCTCTCTGAATTTAATTTGCTAGCTGAGCGTATTTTCAAAAAAACGGCAATTAAACCTGTTTGACTCCAAATGAAACAGCCTAAAGCATCTTAAATATTATGTGACCGTTGGTGAGAAGTTTATTCCTTTGATGGCTTCCAAACCGGCTAACCGAAATAGATCAACAAAATTGTGCTTTTGTCGTAATAGAAATACATCCTGTTTACTGCGATTGTCTATGTCATGTAATACATTTTCGTTGGGGATTAAATCAGTAACAACTGGGTTTTTTAATCTGACATTGGAAGACCGATATTAAAGTTGAAACAATATATTTTGTTTTATTGTACTCTTATGTGCCTCGTGCAAGCATATATATTAGTGTGTCTATTTTTTACCTTATTTATTTCAACCTCTATAGTTTTAGTGGTTGATGGTAATGACTATGGATTTAAGATACACAAGGGAAATATTACTAACGACTACCCTACTTAACTGATACTATTTAACTTTCTAAGTTAAACAAAAATCTTTAATTTATAAAAATTGCTTATATATGCCCGGCCGGCTTAAAACGTGAAGCCACCTGCAGACACTTGCTTTCTACATACAGCAAGTAACTTTTTGTTCCACCTTATAATTGCGTTATATGAAGGAAGGCATGAAATGATTAGAAAAAGGCTTACGCCAGGCTGAAGGAGACAATCGAAGAAATACACGCACAATTATTTAGTAGGAACTATAGAAGGAAGTAGTAGGAAGATAGATATCTTGAGCAGCTAATAGACGTTTGGATATGTAGGTGAGATACTGTGATATAGCTATTGCCTTACCGACTTGTAAGCTAAACAGCAGCTTGTACGCATATATACAGTACATATATAATATATGCTGCTTGCGTGACTTTACTTTCCGGAAAGAAAGTTTTGTTGTTGCATGGGGATAGACGAATAGCAGGGACAGAACCCAGTATACATTGATGAATGATTAGATATACTTAGCTTTATGCTCGATTAAGAAAAGCCAGTGCAAAACTCTCTACCTTGCGGGTTACTTTTGCAATTTGCGGTGGATACCGCCCAGAAACTGACACTGATGAATTAGGTGCTAAATACTTTACCGTATCTGTCATATAATCATGATAAAAATAAACTTCCTAACTAATAGCATCACTAGAAATGTCTTAACTGATAGAACCAAGATATCGCTTCTGACCCTAACGCGCCGCTCAACTCTTAACGGTTATCATATTTATAGACTGCGATGACTTGTTTCAAACTTTTCATTGCCTTGTAGCAATTCCACCAGCTGGCATCGCAGTGCAAAATATTGCTGCCCCTCCAGTGGCCGGGCGCCGTCGCCGTGACATCCACGTGGACGACGCACCCAAAAATAACGATGTAAAACCACGCTCGTTAACGGCAATGTCCTCGCTCCAGACCACGCTTACTTCAGTGATTGAATCTAACCCCGTCATTAAGGTAATTACTTAGATCAGTTTGTTGCAGTCTGTGCAGCTCAATTTCGCGATTCTCGCAGAGGCCTATTATCCATGTATGTCGAACACGATTGCGTTTTTAACCTAAAAAGATATTAAAGATAAGTAAACACGAGAAAACTATCCTAATACAAAATTCATGCAACCAGTTTTCTATATTAATTTTTAAATAAAAATATGGTTTCACGATTTCACATCGATTTCACGTTATTATTCGACAATATCATAGAATATAATACAAATGCTCTTTGACCTATAGACAGAAGACAGATAATAATTTCTACATTAGTACTACCTTAAAGAATGCACGTATATTATCTCAATGCCTTTCCAACTCTCCTGGTACGCATTGCCCAGTATCTCGTAAATTTCCCAGAACTCCATAATAAAGAAATATTCTTTATACTGTGTTTTAAGCACGCATCGATTTCGCCAATACAGCATGCTGCGCTACTCATTCTTACGTAGTGCAAAATATCTCCATGACCTGCTGTCATCTTGATTTTTAGACAAAGAATCCCTTAACTATCCTAAATACTAATACCCTAAGTGTATGTACAAAAACCGAGTTTTATTTATTCGTTAACTTATAATTCGTGCTTTGCGTATTAATTCTGCTTTTGGACTGTACAAGTCATTTTTACACATCTGCGATCCTGTATTTACGCTTATTCGTCATTTCTAGGGTTGAAATCATCTGTCATTTCGAGTATTAACGCTTTCAAATTTAAAAAAACACCCCAAAAAGCATTTTGGTAAGATTACTGTGCAGCTTGACTTTAAGGTCTTTTTTATGGGAAAAGTATTAATTGAACTGTCACTGGATAGTGACATCGCATTAGCGATGATACAGTTCAGTAAGTACATAACTAACAAGCACGATTGAAATAATTATTATTATAAATATTCATCATTCAACATTTTCTGGCCAATTCAGCTATTTATTCAATTTCTGTTTATCACCGCAGCTTGCAGATTAGACGAGTCCCTTAATAATACAACCTTTATATCTCTTATAATACCCGCCACGTCTACTGCTTACCTACTGCAAAATTTTTTAGAGTAATCACGATTTCAGCAATTACACTCATTCTTGTACAACTACTGCGGTTGTTTTTCTCATTGTTATTTATATACGCCACTACCAACTACCATTAGTGACCTACGCGATATTTTCAATTATTGGAAAGGTTAATGACGAAACTGATGGAGTAAACGGCTAATTTTTACCGATAATTTGAACTCCCACGACGCTGCTTATGCATTTGAAAACATTGCCGACGTTATGGTAGCTTTCTTAAAGCCAGTAGAGCATTATAGAATCCGCGGTGTCACGAAGTTACTACTTGAACGTAACCAAAATGATTTCTTTTGTGACCCTAAACTTATTAATTAGTTAATTAATATTAATTAAATATTTACTCAATTATATTGAAAGCATTAATGAGTTTTCCAGATGGGGAAGTCTTATTACGGAGCAAAATGTACAGAGTTTTTGCGAAATTCCACAACTGTATAAAAGACCAACTAAAAAATAGTACTCTCGACACCCACCTCTGTTTTGTTTTTATGACAATTATATAGGAGCCTGTTTATTTTCAAATTTTTGCTGCTAGTAATAAAAAAATTTGCATATAAAGGGCAACAACACAGCATTTCAATATCAGAAAGAGTATACAGAACAAATTAAAACATTTTGCGTCATATAGGTAACACGAACTTTAGTGAGTTCATAGTACTAACTTAAGAGATTTGCCAGATGCCTTAAGCATGCTTGCATCCAGAGCATTTTCATATATTGTCAGGCTCGTGGAAACCTGGTTTCCGAAAAAGTCTATGGTGGAAATCATGCATCGCAAAGCGAATAACGACATTTCTGTTTAGCCGTTCATGCCTTTCAACGCCCTTGCTCCTTATTGCACCTGATTATTGAGCAAGCATATGCCCATCAACCTCCGATAATTTCTGTTCCCAGTTCCTAAAATTGGCATCTTCACGGTTGGAAGCTACGTGAGGCAATTTCCGGTAACTTTGTGTGGTTCCAATGCACTTTTGAGAAAGAAAGCTTTAACGCGACTCACTGTTTGGCAGTAGCGAGGGGCAAATAATAAAGCAATGTGATAGCCCATGCAATTAATACTGCATTTTTGTATCTTTCGGTGACATGCTCAGTAAAACTTTTTTCGTTCGCGGAGAAGAATAACCACAGGTTCGGCAACCGGTTGATATAGTCAAAAGGTGGCCTGGCAAGGTACAAGGTGTAAGTGGCTGCTGTTCTGTTTCATTACTATGTATATACAAAATGACGAGAAATAATTGCATAAAAAATCACCATTGATATCTAGTTTTAAGTGAGGTACGTAATTTTTTTCGCAAACATCGTGCCTATTTGAACACAATTAGACTATTATTTTAATATATATTGCCACATAAGAGTCTACTTCTATAATAACAGAGCAACAAAAAATCGAACAGATCACTTAACAGTGGAAAACAAATGGAATTTATAACATTGAAAAAGTTTAATATAAAATCTGACTTAGTCCTTGATGCAAATTTTTTTAAATATGTTATTGGCCGATCTAATATCAAAGATTATTTATTTGAACGTCGAAACATTTGTAGCCATGTTTTGATGTTCATATTCAAATATTCTATGACTTTAGGCATTAAAAGGTCCACTTTACCATAAAATGATAAGTACGAGTTCCACCTTCGAATTAATTAGACAACTATCTAAAAATCGGCATATGATATTTGTGCCCTTGATTTACGGTCTTTGTTTTGCTGCCGTACTATTTTTATATACTATTATACTATCTCGAAACTCTGCAAACCATATTTTGGTATCTTTATTTTTTTACAATGGTAGGAAGCGCCGCTGCTTGCCACCAGCGATTACTACGCTATAACCGAGCAAAATTCAGGCTATCTTTGTCATTTTAATTTCTCAGTGAATACTTCAAATTTAATCGCACTTTTTGTAATAGCCAACACGGAGACATTGAATTTAAATCGAAGATTACTGGGATATAGAAAGCAACATGAAAATTTAAAGAATTAGCCACATTACGCTGTGTGGCAAGATATTTTACTGGGGCAATATTATGCGAAAGGAATAACGTAACTGGTCCTTCAAAAGGCCTCTAAACATAAAAAAAATGCTCAATCTGCTTTAAAAGGTGGTAGTTTTAAAAAGAACATAATATACATAATCCCACTATTGAAGTTCATTGATGTGATGGCTGAGTTGGTAGTGAACCGAACTTGTTATTTATAAGTTCGGTTTTATATATATACTTCAATTCGGTTTTACACATACGGTTTTATGTAAATTTCGAGTCCGAGTCATAGACATTTTGTCGAGTTTTTAATTGTTGTATCAGAAATGACAGTCATCGCACCGTAGGCAATCGGCTTTTAATTGAAGTATTGTATTGATGTTGTAAGGTTTCAAGTTGGTGCAAAACATGTATTACCAGAATTCTTGGAACCTACACATATATAATATACTATTTCCTAATATTTTGAAATACAAAATAAACTGCGCGATTAAATTCAGTCGGCCCCAGATGCCGGAGAAACGCCTTTAGTTAACTAGCTTTTGGGGCGCAATGATGCAAATATCAACTCACATCTTGTTTTCAAGTTACTTAATTTGCCATTTCTAGCAGGACTCAACTTTGTTGAAAATCTAGATTTTTAAATGAAATATGACTGTGGTTCCCCTAAATTGACTCCGTGTTATTTTGTATGCTTATAAAGATTTTAAAAACGACGGTTCATAAACACTTAAAAAACCGAAAATTATGTAACGTTTAGAAGATAAGTCGATGTCCCAAAATGTTTCTCATTTACCTTTCATTCGATGAAATTTTGAAACGCCTTTTGGTGTAAAGTTATTTTTTACAATGACCTATCGGGTTCTATAGAACATAAGGCCAGATATTACATTACCTGTGTGACATTTAGCTGAAATGGAAACGGTCCTTTTTCTTTAGAAATTAGGTATTGCGCTTAAAAACTTCTATCCAGATGGACTGCTCTCGGGGTAACCAAATTTGAATTACGATTCACGATTAAAGGTCCCATTGATAAAGAAAGCGTAGAGAACATATTCGCATAAACTTGACAACCAAATGTTACATATTCTTTAGTGGTTTGTATTTCTATTGAGGTGCTTAAACTTTTATAAGCGTTCATATACGGGAGAAAATCCAAAAAAAAACAGTTCCTAACACGTCATAGAACATTTTGTGAGGTATCTAATGCAAAATACAGTATACTGTATATATATATATGTACTTCACTAGTATATATTGCTCCTTCGGTTTCTGAAAATGTGTAACGTTTTTGCTCGGCACTAAAAATTGTTATTAAGCTACTAAGAAGCGAAGTTTATTTCTTAATTTTATCTAACTTAATATTTATCCTATGCTCAAGCACAGTACAGTAGACTATTTTCATACTTACATGAATCCCCGCAAAATACTTGATTATTAGTTAACGTCGAATATTATTAACCTAGTTAACATTACAGAAGTAGAGAGTTTAAAACTTGGGACCACTAACTTTGTTTTCATGTTGGCTACCACAGATTTAACCCAGTAGTAAATACGATAGTTGGTTTAAATGGCTGATGTGTAGATAGTAATATAAATGTATACAGTCTCAACTTACCAAGAGGTTTAGTTGAAATAATCACACCAAACTACCATCCTACAATAGTCGCTTTCACTGATTAAACCGATATGGCCTACAATACTCAAAGGAGATTATTGAGAAGTTTCAACACGTATCTTGCATTTTTTCAGTTTTGAAGACTGAAATTTTGAAAGAAATAGCATAACGGTCAAGACAACTTTATTAAAATCAACAGCTTTTTTTTTTTTTATTTATATGCTGCCAGCACCACACTCAACATAAGCACGCATTAAAAAACCCATTGAAGAAATACCGTGGGTAGCCAATTCGATACCGTACCTATTTGAATGCATGAAGTTAAAACTCTACTATGTGGTAAAATCTGAAAGTTTAATAATAAATAACGAAATAATAAATTAAGGCTTACTATAACCCCAAGGAGTACACGACAATGTAACGAAAACGGTTAGCAGAAATCGATAATTAAAACGTGCGCCAAAAAATGACAATAAGAGGAATGAACCAAAAGAAACTTCCCCAAAGGAAACGCACCCAAGAAGTGGATGACGAGGTCTTGCAGGTGTCTAGTCACCCCAATAGATCTCCGGGAAGATAGAAATTAGTTGCACAATTGTCATGAATTGTCTGCAAGTACAGTGGAAAGGCGGGTCGCACATAAGCTTAGCTAAAGTGCTATTATTTCTATTCAACGTCCAACTCCCTTTGGCTTAAGAAAGATTAAGCCGTACGAGCCTTAGCAAGGAGAGCTCACAGAATGTGGCGGAATCCGAAATGGGATTTTCAACTCATAAGCGTTGGGAACACATTAAAATGATGAGTATAATGACGATAATTAATTCAGTTTGTCGGACTGAGTCAAAACATGGTAAATGTAAAGGTGTTAGAAAAACAAATGACCGTGCAAAGTAAGGCAATATTTGACCTTATGAAGTTTTGAGAAAAAAATTCTAATAAGCCTTGGGCGGTCATTATTTTACTTTCGACTGACAATTATTCCATTTGTTCCAAACAACACCATATGAAAGATAAGCGATTATGAAACAAAACGAGAATCCGAAAGTATCGTCTTCACTATTCTGTTGTGTTCCGTCGTTCTGTTGTTCAAACAGGAAAAACTGAAATTAATTACTTTAGGTAATAAGGTTGGCCTCATCTAGAGGTTAACAACATAAAATTAATTTTTTATTTATCTCGACAATTTTAAAAGAAATTGATTACAGTTAGAGAATCTTTTTTATCATCTGTTAATAAAGACCGGAGATAGTAAACCATTCCAGTAAAGAGACGATTAACTGCGCAGCCCACTGGTAAGAGGAGAAACCTAATGCCATTTCTGTAGTTCCTATAATGCTATACTATAAGTTTACTACACCGTATAATATTATTGTCATGTATGCTGAAAAAGCAGTTGCTTGTATATTTCTATAACCAAATGTGTTGGCTCCCTCCAGATTAGATGCTAAGAGGTCTGCAAAATCGTAATTTTTTGTTCGCCGTAAAACCTTTTCTTTCCGGATCCAGCTTGTCTTAGAAAAAGTTATATGTGTTGTATTCCCTTACGCTTGTTTCAACGGAGGTGCTAAAACAAGGTTGCGATCTATTTAGGACAAAAAATGTGAACACATAGTTTCCATCTACGAGCTATTGTATGCATGTCTTTAAATCTCAGAAGACCTAGCAGAATCTCATACGTGTTATATATCGTTAAAACTATCGAGATTTTCTTTTGACATCAGTTGAGTTTCTAAATTGGAGTAGTAGCCTAATAGACAAAAGTTACTTCGCCAGCACTAGCAGGATATGTATTTCGATACTTTGGCAACTGAATGTTTATTTCTTAATTTTTTTATCTCCTTTGTGTAGTCAAAGGCAATATTATCGCGCTTAAAATATTTATTGATATTTAAACGGTATTTCTCTTAAATTAAACAAGTCAACTTGGCCAACTGGCGTCTATAACATTCTGCAAAAGTAAGTCTTTCAAGACTTTAGAAGCTACGAAAACGGACTAGGACTCAATAGTAAGAACACCACCAAAATTAAATGAGAAATGCAAAAGATAACTCGACGATGAACACGAGAAATTTAAATCCTTTAACGTTACATTTAAGTCATCTAGAGTCTGTGGCTTAACCTTTATTACCTTCTTATCGGACTCGATATGATGCTATTATGTTTTTCAGCTTAAAATATTGTTTATATTTAACGGAACTTCAAAATAGTCACATTTTGAAGCATGTGAAAAAAACTCTACTTCAGATCCTTAATTTAATCCTAATTACTTAATTTAATGTTTTGAGATATATACAAAAGGATGATAACGAGCTGAAAGGCAAGGAAAGAGTTTAAACAAAACAACCTTATGCGATAGCGTCATGTTAAATCTGCGGATATTTCGTCCCCACTGGACTGAAACACTTTAATCTCATCGGAATAAATTATAACTAGCTATAACGACAATGATATCACTGCAGTCAATATACATGTATCTTCATTGTGGTAGTAGTAAAACCCTGTTCATATGAAGAATAAGTTAATTACATCGATTTATTGTTTCTAGACATGTTTAGATCTAACACCTTCTTGGTTCCCTTTGTACTGGAGCATTGAGGTCCACATTCGTGCCGCTTGGTACTTAATAATTATCTGACAAATGTATAACGCTTACTTAAAAAACCACAACAAACAGATGAGTGAACATCACATACTGTTATTAACCTACCGCGATACTGATTATTTTGACATGTATATAGGTTCTTCAAGAATACAGGCTACACGGTCTCAATAGTCCCTCCTGTATCCAACGCCTCACCTGCGAAATTCTGTTGACCCAACCCTGGATGCAAACTTTTGCAAAAAGGTAATTACAAATTAATTAATATGCTATAAAAAACCAAACCAGAGCCTTTTTTTTAGTAAATTGGTCTTCGCAATAGGGGTTTTTCATTAGAGATACGCCATTACGCGACTTGTGGCAGTTTATCGTAGATAAAACAGTTGCCTTTCATAGCAAAGGATGGACGAGATGTGCATATAAACCTTATTACCTCAATAAGTGTAAAGTTACTCATATTATTATTAATAATTACGACAATAAGGTTGACTACATAAAGCTACATGGTCCATATTGTTTGCGTTCTTTACTGGTTTTGCGTATATTACTAAATAATGCTTACCATCGCTTCGTTTGATGGCTACTACAGTGGTTCTTCTTACACAATGGAAGCAAGCATTTAGTTGATCTCGTCTAGCAATAATGTTTTTGCACTTTGCAGAGACTTTTAAGCTAAGATGCCTTTTTGTAAAAAGTGTGAGGATGATCGATTGATGAGGCGTTACCTTGGATAATATACACTGCGTATTCTCTATTCGGTGTCTACATGCTAATATTATATTCAAGTTTTCGCTTTTGGCAGTTGTTATTAAATTTGAAATAGGTAACAATGAAAATTAAAGTATGATGCATGTTAACTTATCTAATAGATTGATTAGCACATTTCCCAGTTTTAAGCTCTTTACTTTGAAACTTTTATTAAAGGTTTCGGTTTCGAGTTGTCGGACTCTAATTGCTATTTCTTTGTAACTCTATAAATAAGCTGAGTTTTCAAGCCGTAGACGCTCCAGCATCAAGGGGGTTCATGTAACTGATAGTGTTGTAATTAGGTGTCAGTGCCTCTAAGGTTCCGATGTCTCAACAATATATCGATATGAAATCATTCAATTTATCGCCCGATGTGGATCTCTCATATTGCATATCGAATTTGGTTATTGGGTTCCAACGCTTCTGCCTTCTCATATTTATTCCTTATAATATGTTTTAAGCATTTTATGTACCACCGATATCTTAAGTTGTATATGTCGCTTAACAACGCTACGATTAGTTTCGATGACGCGTCGAACTCACAAAATGAAAAAAATACGAAACTGAACTAATAAACTAAACTTCGCGAAAAGCAATAACCAACCATAATTGTAAATCACTTATTAAATAGTGTTTGTATCAAATTGAAGACGTTTATCTCGCCAAGTTTTCAATTACTCCATATACTAAGGCTTCGTATTATATACTTATAGTAAATCACAACATTATTTTGCACTAACATTTATACGAAACGGAAATGCAGGTCTGTTGTGTCTTGTCTACACTTGTCGCACAATCAAGGCCACTAACTGGCATGTCTTACGATGAGGCTTAGTAAAGGTTGCTGCGTGAACGTCGTTGACCGCCGCCCTAGGTGACCATTATTTAGCAATGATGATTTTGATTAGCCTTTTTTTGAGATTTCTACTTCTGATTCCGTCGATGAAGAATGCATAAAGAGCCATAAACACCAACCATATTCTTGCCGAAAGGATAACACACGATGATAAGCTATACAACCTAAGCCAATAGATAAGAGTACCGTTCTTGTTGTAAAGCTGGACTTAGTCTAGGGCCTTAAGGTTCAAACTTTGCTCTGTTAAATTGTCAAGAAACCAGTAACGCATATAATAAATATCAAATTCATTAGGCTAAAGAAATTGCCACAGTTCTGACGCTAAATCTCGCTCGCCTCGAGTATCTAAACGATTCATTCGGTTAAACTGTACTCTGGAAGTAGCTTTCCCACACGCCTTGCGGAAGTACGCGCAATTCAATTTTGATCCCATTCCAAAAACTATTACACCATACTGAGTTTCATTTCTGTTTATTATCTAATCTCTCGAAAACACTTACGTTTCAAATTCTTTATGTAATGAATAGTTAATTTGATATGTTCTGTACGCTTTTTTTAATATAGACATAATCATGATAATTCAAACTTCCGAGACTTAAGCGGAAATAGGTTCGGGTCTTAACAATAGCAGATGTGGCCAGTGCCTAATGACTCTTATGCCCAGAGTCATTCTCCAGATGTGCCTGTTCCCTATCCGCGTTCAGACCAGCATCTCCCCACGTTTTTTAAGGTTGAAACCCCCCACTCTTTTAAGCCGGCCGACGTGTTTCTTCTTTCTATGTACTTCCACAGATCTATCATCCGCTCGCTGTGCTGCAGAGGAAGTCGACGAACTCCTCCATTACGCTTCTAAGTAGTGCAAGGACATTCCTTCCAGTTGGCCGCTACAGTATCTACAACTTTTCAGCACTTTTCCAGCGCCTCTGGTCTGGCCCCTATCAGACTTTGCCAGACCAATAGAAAGTGTATGGCGTGGTCTTCGGAATCGAACAAATGCGGGCGCCTGACCTAAGCATGTCAATCCTTTTGGTAACCTCTTGTTCGGCTTCCTTTAACCTATCTAAGCTTTTTTTCTAATCCTGCGCCTCCCCTCAGCTTTCGAGTCCCAGAAGAGTGTACCTGTCAAAACGAAAGTGAATGGCGCGGCAGCCGTTTCATTAGTTTAAACGGTTCGCAGCGTCGGGAATCTTTGGGTCTTCCTCAAAGACGGTCTTTGTCTTAGTGTATGTAGAGAGGTTGAACCACACTGGATCGCTGAAGAAAGCTATTGACTGTACGACATACATAGTAAGTCTGTATCGCTCAGTACGCCTCGGGTTGTAATGTTCGGAAAATATCTTCGGTATGTCATTTGCTGCCTTTTAACTCTAGTGGTTGTTACGTATCTGTGCCGCGTCTCTTGGAGTCCCCTATTTGGGTGTACTCCAACGTATCTGGAATTTCAACCATTTTGATTTGGCCGCCAGTGAAGTTCAATTCAACAAACCAAACTAACCTTTTGTTATAAAACAAAATGGCTATGCTTTTTCAGGTGCCAATGAAAGTCCAGTCTTTGTTAATCAGTTGTGAATGACTTGCAGAGTCGGGTAAATTTTGAACTCAAGTTTTTGCGATAAGTACCCTAATGTGTTAAGCAGTACACCAGGATATTTATAACATATAGATTAAATTACATTTTTCAACGCTTCCGAGTATCAACCTTTTCTTATTCAAAGCACTGACAGCAAAAAGGATGGTGCAGTCTTTACCAGTTATCAATAACTCCCAGGGACCAGCTGGCTTTTTTGAAACAAGAGCTGTGCAATAATCCGTTGATTTTAGATAACGAGTTTCTAATTTTTCTGTGGTGCCGCTGGAGTAAATAAGCTAATAGATGAAACTCCAGGTTGGAGCCGAAGTTGTAACTCAATGACTTTTTTAAATTACTTGAGTGTCTAGTTTGAGCTGATGTTTGACGCAAACATTATTATGTCGCTATATTTATTGAATTGAAAATAGGTCCGTAGACTTATGGGCAAATAGGCAATGGGAGGTTTTAAACTTGACAGACTTTAGTCTGTCAAAAAAACGGAATCTGTGCTACCTTTTTCACTAAGATTGACGTTGATGTCAGCTTGAAAAACGACTTTTTATGTAATCTGCCTCTCTTAGTATAGCCCACGAGCAGTGCGCATTTTTTAAATCATGAAAGTACGATTGCCAAAAATATGTGCGGAACATCTTCATATAATACAAAAAATTCAATATAGAACGGAAGTAATGGTATAATAATAGTTTGCAGCAAACGTTAAATCGTGTGGAATATCCTAAGTTAAAGCACCTAAGAATATATTTCGCTGATTTTTCTAATATATAAAACTATTTTAATGGAAAGAAGTTCAAAAGTATTTACTCCGTAGTATACGCAAAACGACAAGATTGTCAGTGAGGCTCGTAAGCGATCATTACTTACAGAATTCTAAAAAAATTTTTAATCTTGAGTTAATTCAAACGATTGCAGTATGTTGTTTCTTTTTTCTTATTGCATTCTATTTCAGTGATACTCTGATAACCCTAGAGTGAATGATTTACGCGATAGCATAGGCCCGCAAGATAGGCAGTTTTATCGTTTCGGAGCGGCTCTGATATTATCGTGAAGCAAAAAACGCGGGCCATCAAAGAGTTTCATTGACACTTTGAATGGAATTTCTTCTACTGCCATTAAACCATTGTTTACGAAACTTTCTTAGGGTAATTGTTTCCACTGATTGTTGTACTACCTTCGTTAATGCAAGAGTAATGTCAAAGTATTAAGGCGTCAAATATAATAATAACATAACCTAAGAATAGCGACAAAAATCAATATTAGTAATAAAGCGAGTAATAAAGTTCAAACTACCTCTATATAATGATCTTCTAATAAAATAATATATATTTGTATTAAAAATATTATCCTAGCAATGATTTTTTTAGGAAGAAGAGGGTAAGTAGCATGTTCTTTTCTCTAACAGAATGGCAATAGAAAACGTTGTCTTTATTTCGAAGGGTAGGCCGCTACTAACGTAATTGCCTCTTGGGCACCCTGGCAAAGGCCATAGCGTGTATCAAAGAAGCATGGCTGCAATTTTTCGCCGAAAAATGTGACTTACAAATATCCTGAGAACTTTTGCTTTTAACAGCAGTTCGCTGAATTACTGCAGGGGCATCTTCGACTGGGTTTTGCCTACCAGTCTAAGTTGTACCTGCTCATTTTCATGAATACCGGAAGCGTTTTACAGTCTATACTAGAACACTGTTCTAAGCCCACTAGTTGGAAAAGGGGTATCTTAACACCTTGGAAATACATATACAGAATGGGGTATTTAAATTGGGACATGTGCTAGAAGTATCACTTCTGACAGTTATGTCTATACTACAGAGTATTATTTACCGCGACTACATTTTTTACTCAGTACATAAACTACTTATTAGGAATTGTTAAATTACTCCTTCTTTAATGCGTAAGTGACTTTTTTGTAGTAAGGCCACGTCAAGCGAGATTGTTAAGTGTGAAATCGCTAAAGTGTCGCTCGAATACGCAATATACAAAGTATTCTAGTTACTAGAAAAAAGTGAGTTTCCACTAGTAGCAAGAATAGCGAGTAGGTGCGCATCTGCTACAACC